CCTCACCTCTCAGGCAGATGCACTCCAACTTCAATAAGTTGCCTTTACTATGTTTGATAGGGAAACAGTAGGTCTAAACCCCCCCCCCCCCCTAAAAAAACTTGGCGTACCAGAACATATACACACAGAATATATTATTTAACAGTGGTACAATAATGGTAAGTATTTCTCATCAATAAGTACCTTGCCGACCTGTGAGAGCGATCATGCCTCTCCACAACCTGCCATCTCCAGCACACAAACATCCAAATTAAATTCTGCAATGATGTTACCCTGAGCTATAAAGCAGTCTCAATTGCAGTGCGGTTACAGAATAAAAGAAGTTTAAAACAATATAGGTAGATTGTGCAATGCTGCTGCATAAAAGGCAAGAATATAACAACATATAAAACACACAACACTGATCATTCAATGTTGTTTGACATACTGTAAATTTATTTAGTGCTTTTGGAAATAAAAGAAGTATAAAACACTCTTATCTGATTATGCAATTCTCATTCATCAATAAGAAGGTGGTTTAAAACACTGTTAACAGGTTATGAAATTATGTTACATATGAGAATGAAAGAAATGTAAAACATTACAATGTGATTAGGTAAAGTTGTTTGTTGACAAGAATAACGAACAATTTTAAATTGACCATTCAGTGTGGTTTAAAACAGCCTAAACTGATTTCGGAATGCTGTTAGACAAATGACAAGCTTATTTCTTAACTCCTTCTCTATTGTTAATTCTCCTTTAAAAATGAAATGTGTCTTTTTCTAGTGGTTTGACAGTTCTGTTCTATAATATTCTCAACATTCTTGTGAAGGGTGCTTGTAGTGAAAGTTTTTTTAGAGTTTGTCTTACAAATGACTATCTTAAACATATTTATTTCAAACAGGTGCATCTTTCAAATGCAAATCTTAATCGTGTGTTTCTCAAACTGGTCCCAATCTTAAACAAAGTGTGTATTAAACATTACACATCATATACATGTATTTTTTAAATATGTACGTTATAAACATATGTAAATTATACACACACATCTAAGAGACACACGTACCTCAACCCTTGTAACCCAGGAACCCTTTAGGAAACAAGAACTCAGGAATTCCTCCACAACAACATTTTTTTAAAAGTCCTTAAAAACAATAATTATGTTTGATTGACAGACTATAGAAAACATTTTTGTCCAGAAAGTATGGAGGGGAGTAATCAATAAAAACTAAAAAAGTGAAGAATTAATTCGATTACATTCCCATGGGCGTAAATAAATGTATGGGTGATTCCCATTGGTAACCTAACAGTAAGTCAGATGTAGTTTCCTGGTCAAACTGCTTAGGCTGTAAGGTGTCACGGAGAGGAGTCAGATATAGTTTCCTGCCTTTGGTCCCACAGCTCATGCTGTAAGGTGTCACAGAGAGGAGTCAGATGTAGTTTCCTGCCTTTGGTCCCACTGTTTGTGCTGTAAGGTGTCACAGAGAGGAGTCAGATATAGTTTCCCGCCTTTGGTCCCACTGTTTGTGCTGTAAGGTGTCACAGAGAGGAGTCAGATATAGTTTCCTGCCTTTGGTCCCACTGTTTGTGCTGTAAGGTGTCACAGAGAGGAGTCAGATGTAGTTTCCTGCCTTTGGTCCCACAGCTCATGCTGTAAGGTGTCACAGAGAGGAGTCAGATGTAGTTTCCTGCCTTTGGTCCCACAGCTCATGCTGTAAGGTGTCACAGAGAGAAGTAAGATGTAGTTTCCTGCCTTTGGTCCAACTGTTTGTGCTGTAAGGTGTCACAGAGAGGAGTCAGATGTAGTTTCCTGCCTTTGGTCCCACAGCTCATGCTGTAAGGTGTCACAGAGAGAAGTAAGATGTAGTTTCCTGCCTTTGGTCCAACTGTTCGTGCTGTAAGGTGTCACAGAGAGAAGTAAGATGTAGTTTCCTGCCTTTGGTCCCACAGCTCATGCTGTAAGGTGTCACAGAGAGAAGTAAGATGTAGTTTCCTGCCTTTGGTCCAACTGTTCATGCTGTAAGGTGTCACAGAGAGAAGTAAGATGTAGTTTCCTGCCTTTGGTCCCACTGTTTGTGCTGTAAGGTGTCACAGAGAGGAGTCAGATGTAGTTTCCTGCCTTTGGTCCCACTGTTTGTGCTGTAAGGTGTCACAGAGAGGAGTCAGATATAGTTTCCTGCCTTTGGTCCCACTGTTTGTGCTGTAAGGTGTCACAGAGAGGAGTCAGATGTAGTTTCCTGCCTTTGGTCCCACTGTTTGTGCTGTAAGGTGTCACAGAGAGGAGTCAGATATAGTTTCCTGCCTTTGGTCCAACTGTTCGTGCTGTAAGGTGTCACAGAGAGGAGTAAGATGTAGTTTCCTGCCTTTGGTCCAACTGTTCGTGCTGTAAGGTGTCACAGAGAGGAGTCAGATGTAGTTTCCTGCCTTTGGTCCAACTGTTCGTGCTGTAAGGTGTCACAGAGAGGAGTCAGATGTAGTTTCCTGCCTTTGGTCCCACTGTTTGTGCTGTAAGGTGTCACAGAGAGAAGTAAGATGTAGTTTCCTGCCTTTGGTCCCACAGCTCATGCTGTAAGGTGTCACAGAGAGAAGTAAGATGTAGTTTCCTGCCTTTGGTCCAACTGTTCGTGCTGTAAGGTGTCACAGAGAGAAGTAAGATGTAGTTTCCTGCCTTTGGTCCAACTGTTCGTGCTGTAAGGTGTCACAGAGAGGAGTCAGATGTAGTTTCCTGCCTTTGGTCCCACTGCTTATGCTGTAAGGTGTCACAGAGAGGAGTTAGATGTAGTTTCCTGCCTTTGGTCCAACTGCTTATGCTGTAAGGTGTCACAGAGAGGAGTAAGATGTAGTTTCCTGCCTTTGGTCCCACAGCTCATGCTGTAAGGTGTCACAGAGAGGAGTAAGATGTAGTTTCCTGCCTTTGGTCCCACTGTTTGTGCTGTAAGGTGTCACAGAGAGGAGTCAGATGTAGTTTCCTGCCTTTGGTCCCACTGTTTGTGCTGTAAGGTGTCACAGAGAGGAGTCAGATATAGTTTCCTGCCTTTGGTCCAACTGTTTGTGCTGTAAGGTGTCACAGAGAGGAGTCAGATGTAGTTTCCTGCCTTTGGTCCCACTGTTTGTGCTGTAAGGTGTCACAGAGAGGAGTCAGATATAGTTTCCTGCCTTTGGTCCAACTGTTCGTGCTGTAAGGTGTCACAGAGAGGAGTCAGATGTAGTTTCCTGCCTTTGGTCCCACTGCTTATGCTGTAAGGTGTCACAGAGAGGAGTTAGATGTAGTTTCCTGCCTTTGGTCCAACTGTTTGTGCTGTAAGGTGTCACAGAGAGGAGTTAGATGTAGTTTCCTGGTCCCACTGCTTATGCTGTAAGGTGTCACGGAGAGGAGTTAGATGTAGTTTCCTGGTCCCACTGCTTATGCTGTAAGGTGTCACGGAGAGGAGTTAGATGTAGTTTCCTGGTCCCACTGCTTTTGCTGTAAGGTGTCACGGAGAGGAGTTAGATGTAGTTTCCTGGTCCCACTGCTTATGCTGTAAGGTGTCACGGAGAGAAGTAAGATGTAGTTTCCTGCTTTTGGTCCCACTGTTAGAATCCTCCATTCTCCTGACTGGGTCACACTTGGAGAATAGAGTATGGTAAATTTCCTAAGGACATTCCTCTATGGTGAATTACAGATGGGTAGAAGATGTCTGCTATGACATAAAGATGTGTGAAAGCGGGCCATGAATGATACAAGTATTGAGGTGGATTTATGGGAACACAATGCGAATGAAAGAAGCAATCACTGCAGACAAAAAAATGAGAGCTCAGCACCTGAGAAGAAACATCCTAAATACAAAAGATGGCAACAAGGTCCTGAAATCTGATGCTAAAATTGTGAAAGATTTTTCTAAACACAGGCGGGTCTAGTCACACTCGCCATCGCCATGGGTTGTGAATCCCATGCTTTCTTATAGCAAAGTATAACACTATCATGTGGAAATGTGTCCCCTAGGGTTGGACCACTGTGGAAATGCCAGGTAAGTGGCATTTAAAAACCGTGTATGGATGTGTGTGTTGAGTTAGCAGTTTCACAGAAGAAAAGGGTTGAATATGCATGTTTCATACAGTGTATCTTACACATGTACATGGGATTCACAACCCATGGCGATGGCTAGTGTGACTAGACCCGCCTGTGTTTAGAAATGTATGTCTAACACACTGATGTACACATACACATAAAAACACGCTAGTCAAATAAACAACTACAAGAGAAACTACTGATCTGTAAATTACAAGTGTTACATCAGTGAAATTTCAGAACGCTATTACCCTCCTAAGATCCTCAGATGTTAAACTCGTAATCCCAAGAGTGACTACTAGATTAATCATTAAATAAACATGCAATATCAATCATCAAACAAATATGCAACATAACTGTTATGCAAATATGCAACATCAATTTTTGTTGCACCATGTTGTATGATACATGCAACACATGAATAAATGTATATGTAATCACTGTAATTATAAAGACAATAAATACCAGACAAAACACATCATTGGTTGTTGATTACAAAACACATCATTGGTTGTTGATTACAAAACACATCATTGGTTGTTGATTACAAAACACATCAATGGTTGTTGATTACAAAACACATCATTGGTTGTTGATTACAAAACACATCATTGGTTGTTGATTACAAAACACATCATTGGTTGTTGATTACAAAACACTTCATTGGTTGTTGATTACAAAACACATCATTGGTTGTTGATTACAAAACACATCATTGGTTGTTGATTACAAAACACATCATTGGTTGTTGATTACAAAACACATCATTGGTTGTTGATTACAAAACATATCATTGGTTGTTGATTACAAAACACATCATTGGTTGTTGATTACAAAACACATTAAAATCACAGTTGTTGGGTAACATAAATACTGACAGTATTCTGATTAAATATCACACACACTTACATGAGATAGTATTTAAGCTAACGCTTGTTCAGCCAGAAACATTCCTGGGATGGTGTTGCTTGTCTTAACCAATGAACTCAAAGATCAAGTCGTGATATATAATGGCACATCTGTAAACAGGATAACAATCAATTAAATAAAACATATATAAATGTAAACATAATCAAGTAACAAACAGATTTGTGACATATAACTGCACATCTTCATCTATAAAGCATGTAAATAACACATATTGAATACAAATGTGTATAGGATAACACTGTAGGCAATGGACAAGCAATGGACCAAGCCCATGTTCTCAATGAGGTAGGACAAGCTGATGATTCAGGAGAATAATTGCCAGATATGAACAGCCTATGGGTAGTCAAAGAAGAATAGTAAACCAACACCTTGCTGGTGTTATTGGCACACTAAGGTATATACTGAAGGTGGAATATAAGCACATATGGACTTGTCCAATGTGCAGTAAGGACAATCGATGAGTTAGCTAACTAACTAACTGGATGGTATTTGAATGTAGAAAAGATTTTAAATATAATTGCGCTAATGAAAACTGAACATTTGTAAACACAACACATTTTATATATTTGGCAGAAGATATCAGCTCATAGGAAACATTTTATAAATAACTGCACATTTTTTTTTAATGATGCATAGGTGCAACCAATTCATCTTAACTTTTGCTATCTTGTGTAACTCATCCCATGTTTCCCCTTTTTATTCCAATTCACTATCAAGTTCTTTTAGATTTTTCTAGATGAAAGAAGGTGCACATCTGAGATCCACTCCTTTCGGCTTCCCTCACACTGCTTCATAATCCTTCTAGGGAAAGAGACTGCTCCCATCATAGCTAGTTGGTTATTATTGGGTTTTTAAATGATTAATTTATAGATGGTTAGTTTTTCAGCAAACTCCTAATTAGTTACCATTGATGAAATCTTATTCAGATGTAGAGGGTCTGTTCTTTGCTCCCCTACCACAGGGCCCTGGAACCCACACCGGTAAACAAAGGTAGATAATCACATGTAAGGACTGACCTTTCCTCCTCTAGGCCAAGTTCGTCCTTTAGAAGCTTCTTGATGGAAGGACCATACCTGGGGTTTCTCTCTGCATCAAACACATTGATTGCATGAATGTGCAGGGTACACGCTGGTTCTGTCGTACGAAGCCTCAACAACCGTGTTCCTGGCACGATAATCACAGACATTTTCTACAAGGAAAGAAAGAAATGCGTTCTAGTTATATTGCCAATTTGTACACACTACCAGTGTCTTTTTTTTTTTTAAACCTCTTCGATTCACTGCATAAGTTTCACATAAAGGATTCTGTCAAACAAATTTATTCTTTCTCTTCCATTCAAGTGCCAGTTAACCAAGCTTTGTAGTTTAGTAATAACTGTTTTAGACTTGCTTCTGATTCAATAGTTGAATAGTGTTGATTTGACGTCCGAGTTAACTAAAGAATTGCTTGGAAAAAGAAAAAATGTGCCACAAAAGCTTCTTTTTATTTTGTACTTTTTTTTAATGCCTATCTATCCCCATACTTTATCTACACTTTACACTCTACAGCCATTAACTTTATTTTTCTCTGTTAATCGTTGCACATAATATATATGACATCTCTGGTTTACTTTGCACCTGAAAATGCATTATTAAATGAAACATTAAAACATAACTTGTGACGTCTTAACAGTGAAGGCTGGCTGCAATGCACCCATGCTGTTTTTGGGTATGTTATATTGTGAGGTGCTAATCTCTGTCACAGTGCAACTCTCATTGTGAGGTGCTAATCTCTGTCACAGTGCAACTCTCATTGTGAGGTGGTAATCTCTGTTACAGTGCAACTCTCACTGTGAGGTGGTAATCTCTGTTACAGTGCAACTCTCATTGTGAGGTGCTAATCTCTGTTACAGTGTTACTCTCATTGTGAGGTGTTAATCTCTGTTACAGTGTTACTCTCATTGTGAGGTGCTAATCTCTGTCACAGTGCAACTCTCATTGTGAGGTGCTAATCTCTGTTACAGTGTTACTCTCATTGTGAGGTGTTAATCTCTGTTACAGTGTTACTCTCATTGTGAGGTGTTAATCTCTGTTACAGTGCAACTCTCATTGTGAGGTGTTAATCTCTGTTACAGTGCAACTCTCACTGTGAGGTGCTAATCTCTGTTACATTGTTACTCTCATTGTGAGGTGTTAATCTCTGTTACAGTGTTAATCTCATTGTGAGGTGCTAATCTCTGTCACAGTGCAACTCTCATTGTGAGGTGCTAATCTCTGTTACAGTGTTACTCTCATTGTGAGGTGCTAATCTCTGTTACAGTGCAACTCTCACTGTGAGGTGCTAATCTCTGTTACAGTGTTACTCTCATTGTGAGGTGTTCATCTCTGTTACAGTGTTACTCTCATTGTGAGGTGCTAATCTCTGTTACAGTGTTACTCTCATTGTGAGGTGCTAATCTCTGTTACAGTGTTACTCTCATTGTGAGGTGCTAATCTCTGTTACAGTGCAACTCTCATTGTGAGGTGTTAATCTCTGTTACAGTGCAACTCTCACTGTGAGGTGGTAATCTCTGTTACAGTGCAACTCTCACTGTGAGGTGGTAATCTCTGTTACAGTGCAACTCTCACTGTGAGGTGGTAATCTCTGTCACAGTGCAACTCTCATTGTGAGGTGCTAATCTCTGTTACAGTGCAACTCTCACTGTGAGGTGGTAATCTCTGTCACAGTGCAACTCTCATTGTGAGGTGTTAATCTCTGTCACAGTGCAACTCTCATTGTGAGGTGCTAATCTCTGTCACAGTGCAACTCTCATTGTGAGGTGCTAATCTCTGTTACAGTGTTACTCTCATTGTGAGGTGCTAATCTCTGTTACAGTGCAACTCTCACTGTGAGGTGTTAATCTCTGTTACAGTGTTACTCTCATTGTGAGGTGCTAATCTCTGTTACAGTGCAACTCTCACTGTGAGGTGGTAATCTCTGTTACAGTGTTACTCTCATTGTGAGGTGGTAATCTCTGTTACAGTGTTACTCTCACTGTGAGGTGCTAATCTCTGTTACAGTGCAACTCTCATTGTGAGGTGCTAATCTCTGTTACAGTGTTACTCTCATTGTGAGGTGCTAATCTCTGTTACAGTGTTACTCTCATTGTGAGGTGGTAATCTCTGTTACAGTGTTACTCTCATTGTGAGGTGCTAATCTCTGTTACAGTGTTACTCTCATTGTGAGGTGCTAATCTCTGTTACAGTGCAACTCTCACTGTGAGGTGGTAATCTCTGTTACAGTGCAACTCCCAATGTGAGGTGCTAATCTCTGTTACAGTGTTACTCTCATTCATTCTTTGTCTTGTTATGCCACTGTAGGGCTCACAGGCTATTTCTCCATTCTGTTCTAGTCTGGGTGATCACGTCGATATCATGGATAGGCCCCAGTCCAGTAGCCCAACCTCTCTCACCAATGTTCATCTCCAGGCTTCTCTTGTACATCCTTGTCTCTTCAAGCACTTTATTTCCCATGTCAGTGCACGTTAAGTGATTCTCAGTTCGTCTCTTCTCAGAATGTGTTCAATAAAGTGCCACCTTCTCTGTATTTTAACTGTTGATACCAGTGGTTACCCGGACATATCTCTTATTTCCTCAGGCATTGGTTTTTTAATACAGTTAACTTTTGTTCCATGTCTTTAGAGGTCTTTCTACTTGCATATGTATAACATAAGAAATGAAAATATGTAACTTGGTTCTAAAACTATATAACTTGGAGCTTCATATTTTGTGAAGGCTTTTAAAAGTTTCTTATGCCTTGCCATAAAATAGGAAGTTATTCAAGGTCTCTTAACTCTTTGAGTCCCAGGAAACGCATCACGCGCTAATTGGTTACAAGCCAGTGACCCAATCGACGCGACAAGTGTGGGTTTTTAATTTACCACTGACCGGTAATAAAACGTGGACCGCTTAATTTCAACTTCCTTCCGAGTTCTTTGTGACTGATATCAGGCGTGCTAATTTGGAAACGTAGTTTAAGAGCAGAAAATGTAGTATATTTGCACTGTTTACTAAGTTACTAAGTGTTTGTTTGAAGACAATATGGCCACCGAGCAAAATTCTACATGCATGCCAACATGATATACCACTTTAGAAGCCTCAGATTTATACAAGGCATGTGTTTATTAAATTTATTTGAAGTTAGATAGATAACATTGCGAATTTGAATTATTTCAGTCACTCATAGAGTCAAACTTTGATGAGCGATAGTTCTAATGTGTACCTCACACAAGTCAGCTTGCACAATTAGAATAAATATTAGTGAAAATGCAATTGTTTTAGGTGTCAGTTAGTTCTAGTATTATTCCCTTTATTATTTAGAAACATATCTACAAAATTACAGGCACACTGAGTGTTACATAAACTTCATTTTGTGTGAAGATACTAAATGTTTTGGGAAGTCAGTTTTCTTTACCAAATAATGGTGCTCTGTTATGATGCTTCAAAAGATTCTCTTGAACAAAATCTAATGTATACATAAAGTTTATATTTTACTTATACATTACTAAGTGGTTCAAGTTCAATTGTGATTCATTTTGGATATATTTCAACAAGTTTTCCTTGAGTGCCATGGCGGTTAAGTGGAAAAATCAATACTTCATTTTACTAATTTCTGTAAACATACAGTAAGTTTATTTACTAATATTTAATTACTAACGCAATTATTTGTTGTAGCAGCTAATTTTTTTTCCCCCTAACAGTCCCTGGTTATTTTGATGTATAATATGTGTATTTTGTGCTGCAATTAAATTAGTATGGTCTGTTTTAATGTGTTGTTACACTTGTGAAATTCAAAAAGTGCATTACAACCCCTTGGGTCTTTGATGCTAAACCCCCTGGGACTGAAAGAGTTAAGTTCCCCAGAGCTTGTTTGCTGCTAGATCAGCTAGATGTGGCCACATACTGAAGCCTAAGTTCTTCTGTTTCCTGGAAATAGTGTTATATCCCTGAGTCAAGTGTCCTTGATGTTCACATACTGCAGAATGTCAGTATTTGTACTCTTGATACACAATATTTTAAGATTGTCTGTAACATTTGTGCTCAAAAACCTTGATAAATTTTTCTTTAATAACTGAAATTACTGACTGCCAGGGACCAAGAAAAAGAAAAACACAGACATCCTTTATAGTCTAAACATGAAGGAGAACTGGCTCATAAACAGCATTCTTTCCTGAAAGCTGAGGTATTGTGGCCATGTTAAACCTCATGGTGACCTCGAGAGAACTATGGAAGGTGTAGTTTCGAACAAACAAACGAATGAACTAACTTTATTTTCAAAGGGTTACAAACTGGGCACGCAGGCCTGTCTGACATTCGGCCCTTCTAAGTACTCACTTTTCAGAGTACCAATACCTGTTATCAATAATGCATGTTATGGATATAAAAAAGAAATATAAATTATAGAATAATGCATACACATATCATGTGTTCACAATCGTACATACTCACACACACGTATACATACTCCTACTTTCTAATACATGTGAACTCATTTACAGACATACGTGATACATACACACACACATCTACATACATATACAAATATAAAATACATACACAATACATAAACATAAATGCACAAACAGAAAACACACACACATATATTTATGGATATACATGCACACACACACACACATTCCATACATACACACCTATACATGCATCCACACATATACAATCAGATGTACAGACACCAACATATGCCCACAACCACACATTTACACTTACATGAATACATACACCCACATACATGCATACATACATTCACACATACATGCATACATACACAGTTTCTCGAAAATGGGGCCAATGAGAACTGGCTAGAGGAAGAAAGGCTTGTATGTTATAACGACATTCTGTAAAGAACAAGCTAGTGATGACAAGTAAGTGCATGATGGTCCCCCAACACACGCATTTACTACCATAAATAGTTCTCGATACTCCACACACACCCACCCACACACATACATTTGCAAGACAAATACCATTAAACATAGTAGTCTTACTTCAAGTGGTTTTCCTAGGGTTTCTGCAATAGTTTGAGCTATTCTGTCCTCAATTCCTTCTTTAAGAGCAGATTCCTTCAGGTTTGTGAACAAATATACCAACGGCATCTTGTTTTATGTGTTTAGAGAGAGGCTGAATACTGAGGATGGAAATCAACAGTTACAACAAGAGTAACATATATGTGTGTTTTTGAAAGTCACAGAATCACCAAAATCATAGATCAGTTTAATGTTTTTGTCTTTCACCATCCATCTGGTCAGGCCATCCAGGTACTTATCTCAACTCTCCTCCAAACTTCTACCCCAGCATTAAGGCGGCTAAACAAATATCCTAACAGGGCCTCAGTCTTATTATATGCAGACTTCTGGCGAGGAACAAATCACGGCAAAACTAGGATTACCTGACAATTTCAAGAGACGCAACACTGCAGACAATAGTAGCAGACGATAATAGCGACCGCTGACACTTTCAAGCGTTTCTGCATACAATACTAGCAGTCGATACTAGCGACCATTGACAATTTCGAGACACACAACATTAGACGATAAAAGCGACATGGCGGGGAGACCACATGCTCCGACACAGATTAGTGTCATTGTTGTCCTCAATCTTTTCGGCATGAGCACAACGCGGTTACGCTCACCGCCGACAGTATCCCCCGCGCCACTACTTGCGGGGCAGATGGGGGCCAAACTAGATGCCTGGGACTCATCAGCAAATAAATTGGAGGAAGTTGCAGGAGATGCTGTAGCTGCTGCTCGTGAGTCCCAGCCATCTAGTTTAGCCCTCATCCTCTTTGCGCAGCGTGGGGATACGGTCGGCGGTAAAGCATAGTCACAGAAACAGGTCCGCAATTAACATATCGCTGAGACCCTGTTAGAGCATTTGTTTCGTTATATGGAGCCGATCCTAGTTTTGCCACTCGGCAGGAAGTCCGAGAAGTCTGCATTTTTCATAGGACTGAGGCCCTGTTAGGATATATGTTTGGCCGTCATAATGACGGGGTAGAAGTTCGGAGGAGAGCCCTTATCTCTTAACCTTCCTCTGGACAGTAGTTCAATTTATAGCAAAGGGTTATAAATTAGGTTGGAATTTGCAGATAAAGGTTTTTTTTTTTTTGTTATATTACATTAAATTACATAAGGTAGCCAGTGAAAGGTATCTAGTTGTGTTTAGCTGCGTTATGCCGTGACCTCTGCTAGCATACCTGAGATATCTCCTTATCGTTTGATATATCTACCTGAACTCTGGATCCAACCGTTACGTGACACGGGAGTCGTTGTGTCGTGCCAAAACACAATGTCTGAAATTAGTCGAGTCTCCTCTCCTATCTTCTACTACGAATAGAGAAATTATTACACAAATAATAACGTCTATTATAATTAGTCTTTAAAGATGAAACTTTCATTAAAAATTATCCACAACATAAATTAAGATTAACATATTTTAGTTTTAGTCCCAAAACTTCTTTTGACTTTTGAACTATTATAATTTATAGTCAGTAAGTCTCAGTTGAGTAACAAGTAACAGTAAGAAGCCGTCAGCTCATTTCGAAGATTCCCAACGATAATCAGTCTTTAGCTTAAAGAAAACATCGTTTCTCTTTAACATAGGCCTACAGGCTATAACAAAATTATATGAACGTAGAGATAAGTAATTCAGTAACCAAAATCACGCCCAAGTTGTCAAGAAAGTCTCCGGCTGTCGGATACAGACCTGTCCTTCTATGTCTGATAGCAGATAACGTCTGCTGAGAGCGATCAAAGTTCACAGGTCAAAGGTTGTTGCTTTGGCCAGGAAATGTCCAAACTTCAGGCTAAACCTCTGACCAGATAATGTTAACCAATTACCACAGCCTCCTGTCACTTAACTGTTTAAGATCGTTAATACGCTTTGATTTTGTCTTGGTTGTAGACTTTCTGGAAAAGTCCTCCAATTCAGCAACTACCAAAAGGTATGTACTGTATATTAAGGATGCTCTGGTGTATGGCAGTGAATCTTGGAAAATGAAAAGGAGGAGGGGAAGGGGGCAAAATTTAGAAGAGTTTAGAGGCTTTGAAGATGAGTTTTATTATGAATACCCTGGACAGAGAGAGAAACGTAATTAACGACTGTCTGTGATAAATTAAGGAAGTAGATTGTTATAAGCATTTACATAAAAGATAACGCATAATTATCTAGTTTGTTATTAGTCAATACATGTAAAATATATTACGGTAACAACCTCCAAGTTTCTCTTGTATATTTCTTGTATTTTCTTGTTAATGTACAGTACTCCTAATAATACTAATATCACAAGAGAGAGAGAGAGAGAGAGAGAGAGAGAGAGAGAGGGGGGGGAGAGAGAAAGAGAGAGAGAAGGGGATGGGGGTCAAGCACGTAAAACGATCTTGTTTATACTACACATTAGAAGAGAATAACAATTTTAAACTTGACTATTGTAACGGGCGATTTTAAGTTTTAAAAAGGTGTTTAAAGACGAAACTGGACTATGTATTATTGAAATTATCTAGTTTGTTATTAGTCAATACATGTAAAATATATTACGGTAACAACCTCCAAGTTTCTCTTGTATATTTCTTGTATTTTCTTGTTAATGTACAGTACTCCTAATAATACTAATATCACAAGAGAGAGAGAGAGAGAGAGAGAGAGAGGGGAGAGAGAGAAAGAGAGAGAGAAGGGGATGGGGGTCAAGCACGTAAAACGATCTTGTTTATACTACACATTAGAAGAGAATAACAATTTTTAACTTGACTATTGTAACGGGCGATTTTAAGTTTTAAAAAGGTGTTTAAAGACGAAACTGGACTATGTATTATTGCAATTATCTAGTTTGTTATTAGTCAATACATGTAAAATATATTACGGTAACAACCTCCAAGTTTCTCTTGTATATTTCTTGTATTTTCTTGTTAATGTACAGTACTCCTAATAATACTAATATCACAAGAGAGAGAGAGAGAGAGAGAGAGAGAGAGAGAGAGAGAGGGGGGAGAGAGAAAGAGAGAGAGAAGGGGATGGGGGTCAAGCACGTAAAACGATCTTGTTTATACTACACATTAGAAGAGAATAACAATTTTAAACTTGACTATTGTAACGGGCGATTTTAAGTTTTAAAAAGGTGTTTAAAGACGAAACTGGACTATGTATTATTGAAATTATCTAGTTTGTTATTAGTCAATACATGTAAAATATATTACGGTAACAACCTCCAAGTTTCTCTTGTATATTTCTTGTATTTTCTTGTTAATGTACAGTACTCCTAATAATACTAATATCACAAGAGAGAGAGAGAGAGAGAGAGAGAGAGAGAGAGAGAGAGGGAGAGAGAGAGAGAAAGAGAGAGAGAAGGGGATGGGGGTCAAGCACGTAAAACGATCTTGTTTATACTACACATTAGAAGAGAATAACAATTTTTAACTTGACTATTGTAACGGGCGATTTTAAGTTTTAAAAAGGTGTTTAAAGACGAAACTGGACTATGTATTATTGCAATTATCTAGTTTGTTATTAGTCAATACATGTAAAATATATTACGGTAACAACCTCCAAGTTTCTCTTGTATATTTCTTGTATTTTCTTGTTAATGTACAGTACTCCTAATAATACTAATATCACAAGAGAGAGAGAGAGAGAGAGAGAGAGAGAGAGAGAGAGAGAGAGAGAGAGGGGGAGAGAGAGAAAGAGAGAGAGAAGGGGATGGGGGTCAAGCACGTAAAACGATCTTGTTTATACTACACATTAGAAGAGAATAACAATTTTAAACTTGACTATTGTAACGGGCGATTTTAAGTTTTAAAAAGGTGTTTAAAGACGAAACTGGACTATGTATTATTGCAAAGGGCGTTTTAGAGTTTTTAAACGGTGTTTAAAGGCGAGAGAATAGGATATTATCCCAGATCGCTCGTCTCTCTCCCTCACTCTCTCTCCCTTACTCTCTCTCTCTTCCCTCTCTCTCTCTGTCTCTCTCTCTCTCTCTCTCTCTCTCTCTCTCTCTCTCTCTCTCTCTCTCTCTCTCTCTCTCTCTTTATTATAGCAGCTGGTTGCTGGTTAGAAAATGTTACTTACAGCCTAAACTCTAGTTGTAACAACGATTCACATGGATGTCGCAAACACCTCCACTCGTGTACGGGATTTGAATTTATTCAAGAACCGACATCACAACACTCGGGGCATTCCCATAAGCGCTCTGTCCCCATCTTCAGCATCCAGCGAAGAGTTCTGATACTAATGGGGCCAGCAGAATTTTGATAGAACGTCCGTCTTACCTTTCCTCTGAGCCTCGGGCATCTGCCAGAATCTCTTGTCAACCCCCCCCCCCCCCCCCCCACCTCCTGCCCCCTGCATCAATCTCATCCGACTGTGGTGATCCATCTGCTCCTCCGAACTGTCCACGCTCTCACACAAGCACTAACCACGTCTGCCTTATCATGCATCAGTATTCCGCTAAGTTGTGCAGAGCCAGCCAGTCTGTCCGCCTGTTCATTTCCCAACACACCAGCATGCCCTGTGAAAAAATCCACACAATAATCTTAACCCGTGTCCTCCGCAGCGAGGCATGCTACTCTGTACGAAGCATGTATGTCCTGATCTTCCTTAGCATGCTTTCTGAGTCAGTTACAAGCACAATGTGTGTGTGTGTGTATTTGTATGTGCGTGTGTCGTGTTCTCTAACCAGCGGAAAGCTGCAGTGACCGCCTCCGCCTCCATTCATAAGCTAGATGTTGTGGTATCATATGCTAGGCTTTCCTGCACCAAACATCGACCATTAACTTTTGCTAAGAAACTCCTAACACTTCTTTTGCCTCTTGACACTGAATCGTCTATGTAAATGATCAAATCTTCTGAGCGAGCACTGTATGGAATTAATTGCTGAATGTCCACCTCTGTGGCATCTGCTGGCCGGTCTCTGCATTTCCGGCTCAGTGTGATTATGACCCTTCACAAGTCTGTTCAGGTGGCACTTTGACCCACTCCTCTCCTCGCCTAATGTTCTCAAGGATGCAAACCTGTCTGATTGTGTCTTCTGAATGAGCCATCCATGACTTCCCTCTTATCAACCGATGACCCTTAACTGCACCCAGAGCTTCGTGCAAAGGGTGGT